AACGATTCCATATACATTTGAAAATGTACCTGTTAGACCGGTCCAGCCGGTCCACACGGGATTGGCCCATACGCGAAACAGCGGATTCGTTCCGCCTGCTGGGAGGTTGCACAAGCCGCACGTCGTGCGGGAGCCGAATAGGAAGGTTTTTTGAGGAAGTTTAGGAGGGAATTTGAATGTAGGGATTGTTTAGGGATTTCCTTTTGATTTCTATGCATTAAATAGTTTGTTTTCCTAGGGTTGTAATAATACAAATTATCTACTGTTTTTGTGATTTTGTGTGGACTTTGTGAAGAATTCTCGCTGTTTTCTGAAGATTGATAGGAAATACTTTAGATTTACAAGTGTTTCCTATCAGTACCCTTGTGAGGAGAATTAAGTGCAGAGCTTTTGTATTATGTAAACTTTATTTATTTATTATCTCCCTTGTATGATTCTCTTTTGCATTTAGCTTAGAGATTTGAGGCTTCTCTTTTGTGAAAAAATCATATGTACTTGGGTTTAAAGATGTTGACCTCTAACTACCGGCTCCAGATCAGACAAAATCGCTCCCGACCAAAACACACCGACAAACCCAAACGACACAACCGCCCCCGGTCCCACCTCACGACGATTCAACCACCGCCTCATTCACGATACAAAAATAAATCCTCTCTCATTCAGTTCTGATAATACACAGACGCTCTCATAACTGAAAGAAATCGCAAGAGAGAAAGGGGTTTGCGACTTACCTGGGTTGGTGTTTTCTGTCAGGTTGGGTCGATGCCATGTCTGCAGCCATGGGTTGCTTCGTCCAAGAATACCTTGTAGACCTGGGTTGGTGTTTGTCTAAGGGGATATATCTGAATCCACCTTAGCTAACAGAAGGCTTTATTCCTATCAGATATACTCTATGATTCATAACTCAAGGATTTGACGCATTTAGGGAACATACGGGCTTTGGCCGTGATCGTAATATAATGACGCCATTTTGCGGCAATACCACCCGATCAGAGGGCACGTGCCACGTCCCTATTGGCAAGAGACTATTTGAGGATGAATAGTAGTGATACACCCGACATAAATTTGCTCTTTGTGAGCTGAGGTTAATTTTAAATTTATCACCCCCGACAAACGGTTGTGGGAGGTGGATGATTTTTAGCTTTTAGTTTTTAGTTGATAGATTTTATTTCAAGAATTTGTGCTTTTGTTAGATTTCAAGTTTGACATTTGAGATTTGAAATTTGACCCCTCCGGCTGAGATTTTCGATCAACACGGCCATCATTGGGGTGATTTTAAAATCATTTGTATTTTCATAGGATTTTGAGAGGCATTTTATTATTCAAGTCGTACCGACTCCAGTCCTTTTGAGGAAGAGGATGAAACTTGAATATTTTACCCGCGCAGCATTCTCAAATCGTTGGATTTGTGATTTAGATGTGAAGATTGGAGCACATGCGGGTTGTAGCATTTGACCCTGTGCAGCATTCTCGACGATTTGAGTTTGTAACTTTAATAGTTCCGTCGGAGCACATGCAGGGGTTATTTAATTTAAGGGATCATATTTAATGCATAAGGGAGAATTTAAAAATATTTAAATATAATCAATTTGTGAGAATGATTTTATTTAGGAAATGCCCGAAATTTCACTTAAGGGCTTACGAACGCCTTCTGTCCGCTTGCACATATCTTGCGGATTCGGTGGCGTTGCCTTGAATCAGGTTTGAGTTGTGATACATAGAAGATATATTATTTAATTTATTCAAGCTTGTCATATCATTTACTATATCTTGTAAGGAATGTCTATCCAATAAACATTAGAATATCTTGTTCTTGCTAATGAATTTATTACTGTGGGCACTACAAATTCCCTAATCCTCCTCATATGTGAATTGTAGTATGCTTGTAGTGGGCAGGATGAGTCTTCTACAGTGGCTCGCATGAGCTTGTTGTGATTATGGCGAATCTTCTATCACCGCCAATAGGTGTTCATGTCTACGACAGTTATTCTTGTATATTCATGTAGAACTTATGTTGGGTGCATAATAGGTCTACTTAGCAATCTGTAGGTGGACTGATTTGTTTGATATAAGCTCTTTATCTTTTCTTATAGGCTATTTATTGTGGGCACTACGAATTCCATGTTCCTGATCACAGGCGAATTGTAGCATTTCATGTCTTTTGCTGCAACAACAACTAATAGATGTGAGCATTGACTTATAGGAGTTAATGATGTTGACTTGAGGGCATCTTTGCAACCGTCGAATATCACACAGTATATGTTTACTTGTGTTTGCTTGATATTTTATGTATATATTTCGGTTCAAATTTAATTTAAAATTGATTTTATATTTGATTTTCGTTCAAA